GGTCCCGGTTCCGTTTTTACTTTTGTTTAGTACGTACGTACGTCGACTACTACCCGTACCGGTCGTACTAGGTAGTTAACTAACTAGTAAGTACTCTCTCTCTCTCTCTCTCTCTCTCTCTCTCTCTCTCTCTATCAATCGATAGTGTGGCTGCTGCATGAAGCATGGACCCCTGCACACAATGGAGTAAACTTGTTGATTTGTTCACTGATATCCATTTTACAATACATATGCATATTTTTAACTTTGCATTATTGCTGATCATTTAGCATTGTGCAGCTTCATGAGGCCATTGCACGTGAAGAGTCTGTAGAGTATAAAGAAGGCATTATAATCCAAGAATTTCGACGAGGTTTTGTCCTAGGTGATCGTCTACTGAGGCCTGCCATGGTCAAAGTCTCAGCTGGTCCAGGACCACGGAAGCCGTCTCCTGGTTCACCGAAGCCGAAGCCCACGGAACAGCTAGGTGGAGTGCAAGATTCAAGTGTAAGTCCACAACCTTCAGAGGTTGGTAACATCTAATTTTGTAACATTGAACTTGTGATATTCGATAGAAATCATTTATCATGCATGCCTTTCAATAGAAATCATTTATCATGTTACCTTCAGAGGTTGGTAACGTCTAATTTTGTAACATTGAACTTCGTTTCATCTGTTCTTTTCCTGCACCTGAAGGTTTACTGCCCACAAGTCAACATTCATATGCCAAACTATGTTCTCTCGTATGCCAAACTATGTTCTCCTATTCATCCTTTCTTTCCTCCTTTTATCCTTTTTTTCCTCCTTTTATCCCTTTTTTCCTCCTTTTATCCTTTTTTTAGTTATTAAAAGTGTTATTCTCATTGAATTATCAAGTGAATCACGTGATTCAGGAATTTGGGATGGATGGGTCTGGATAATGCTGCAAAATTCTGTAATTTTATTAGGATCAATAGAAATCAAGTGAACGAATAGCGGTCAAGATGTGTGGTTTTGATACCTTCATTTTCGAGAGTGGATGCGGAATAGAATAATACAAATAATGTCCATTATTTTTAGGGAAATTCCTGCCAATATTCACTGTTATTTGTGGAATGGAAAATGTATCCCACCCCCCTCCCCCTCCCCCTACCAAAACAAAAAACAAACCAAAAAAAAAATGCTATCAGTTTGAATATTCAAAATCTGGACAAAAACTATTGACAAATTGGTTCAAAAATTGAAAATTCAAACAGGCTTTTTGTTAGTCAACTGGTTCGGATTTTAAAAATCCAAATTGGTTTATTTGAGTTTTGTCGGAATTTTAAACTTTGAGTTTTTAAAATCCGAACTGTTCGGTTACAAAGAAATGATTCTGATTTTAATAACTGAACTAATTTGTTAATAATTTTGGTTCGGATTTTGAAAGTTTGAATTGATGGCATGTTGGAAAAAAATAAAAAATAAAAAATTAGGGACATGAGCATAAATTGGTGGATAGATTAAAAAATAGTGGATAATAACGTAAGTTTCCCTATTATTAAAGCAAGCATCAGAAATAGCAAACATTCTTTGCAAAAAAGTACTCCGAAGAGAAATCCGAATGATCTATTTTTTAAATTGTTTTCCCACTTCTCTCCCTATCTCTGATTCTGTTTTTACCCCAATCTTTTCTAGTTTTTTGGTTAGACATCATTGTTCCAATATATTGGATTACATCTTTCTTCCAATATCGGCTGACATCAACACATGGTGGTTCGCATTTCCGCTAGATACAGCCGCACATTCTGCCCATGAGACCGCATCTCTATTAAGAATTCTCATACCATGTCTCCTATTTGTGTAAAGAATTCTCAAGCCATCTCTATTAAGGTTTGAGGATTTGCATTATAGATTTGTGTTTTGTGGTTTTGGTAATCAAGTCCGTGTTTCTTTTGTGTTCTGACTTTGTCCATCAAGTCGTAACAGTGGTATGAGAACTCCCTTGATAGAATTCATCTCTTGGAGATAGGGAGATCGTCATAGCAGTACCCCCCTCAGGGATGCAAAGATCGATATCTTCTGATTGCTTGAGAAATCTCAATTTCCTTTTTTCATCGCATGTTTTGCGAGTTTTTTGAGGTTTTTGGGGCCTACTCTTATGCAAAGATCATGCACACAGCTGCCATAGAAACATAGTCCACTGGCATGCACTGCGCCGAAGAACCACATGTGCCCCCAGTGGCATGGCATGCAGTCTCATGGGCAGAATGTGTGGCTGTATCTAGCAAAAGTGCGAACCACCATGTGTTGATGTCAGCCGCAATGTTCAACAAAATCCTATTGGCAACTTCCATGCTTTGCATCGTTCACAGTTGTATAATAAGCCCATAGGGTTCAGTGTGCGGGAACATTGAGCGGTCACCTAACCAGACCATGCAACCGCAGAATGTGGTTACACAACTAATGTGCGTGGCTACAACATGCACCCGCAGGTCACAGTGTGTGGCCACACTGTGCTGCCTCAAGCTTGGGCCGCCCAGCTGCAGTTTTCATGATCACTGTAGCCGTATGGGTGCTTGCAGTTGCACATATACGGTTGGGCAGCGTCATGATTGAGACCACATGGATTGGCACAGTTGCATGATTGAGGCTGCAAAGACTAACATAGCCGCACAAGGTTGGTCTAACAGCCACTCGATTGAGACTGCACAACCACGTAACACAATTGAGGCTGCATAAGCTCAGCCGCATGGGTGTGACCCCAAAGAAATACAGTTGATAGCGCATGGACACAGCTGCACAGTTCAGATGCACGAGCGTAACATAATTGAGGCTGCATAAGTGCAGCCGCATGGGTGTGACCCCAAAGAAACACAGTTGATGGCGCATGGGCACAGGTGCACAGTTCAGATGCACGAGCGTGGCCACAACCCCAATGAAGAAGCCACTCACGAGGATGAAGCAACACTAGCTCAGCGACACATTGTCGTGTGGCCACACAAATGCAGGTGCAGTTGTGCGTCACTGCATGGCCCCATAGATGTGGACAAAATTGCTCAAATCCGCAGATGAGTGTGCAGCATAGCAGCGAGCACGCACGGTGCGTAGCTGTGTGCGCATGAAATGTAAATCTGTGTAGAATGGGCTGAGCTTGAAGTTGTGCACATTAGTGCAACGGCTCCACACAAACATGTACTGCAACTACTCATGCAGCATGTAATATGCACAACACAATCGAGTGAATGTAGCATACCAGATCGTACAGGCCTGCATGTACACCACAATATGCATCGAGGCCTGTCACTCTAGGCATGTCTTTTGGTTTTATATTATATATGACGGACAATAATTCATGTAGCTGACTGCAATTAATTGAGAAAAAGTTTTGACGATGATGATGATGTTTTAAGGACAAAAGCCGCTCAATAAAATGTCGCTTGCTAATTGCCCTCTTTGGATCCTCACATAGTGGGGGCTGTTCGCAATAGATCATAGTTTATCTCGTGCACTGCTTGGCATGCAGCGAGGCTTCTGCCTCACTAGGTCATGTGGTACAATGTTTACTGGTTGACTGGGGCATGTAGTGCAAGGCTCAGTGCACACCACTTCTGTGGCGGAAGGTCTTGCTCGCATAACCTTAGTGTGAGCAACCTTGCTTGTGCACGAGAGTTTTGTCAATGTTTGGTGCCCCCCATGCCTGCAACATGCAGAGGATTTATGCAAAATTAAGCTCAAGTTTTCATAAGAGCATAACTTTACATATAGACAACATTTGTATCATATTATATTTGTTTTAATGGCAGTTTGATCTGATGAATTCAACCAGCAAGGTGCTGCTTGCTAATTGCACTCTCGATCCCAAATTCCCCTTGGAGCGAGTCAATTGTTGATTGTATTAGTACAACAATAAAAAAAAAACGTTGGGTCGGTATGGAATCGCTCGGTCCACTTCAGAAATCGATCACCCCCTATCGATTCTGTCAATATATAGGAATCGTTCGGGTCTAGAAGAGAACCAACGATTTGCTACAGTAAAATGGCGTTTTGCTAAAATAAAAGTGCTTATTCATTGATCTGGATCGGTTTTTAGCTGGTTCACTATTTTTGCACATGTTTTCTTTACCGGTTCACTATTTCTTTTGCACAGTAACCCGGCGATCTGGACCGTCGATTCACCGATCTAGACCGATGTTTGCGATGTTTGATCTTGGTCATCGATCCGTTTCTTAAGTCACTATATCAGTGATTTAAAAAACGCCAGGTTGGCATAGAATCACCCGGTCCTACCTGCCAATCGGCTGTTCAGGTTTTGTGTCTATATAGGAAAATGGTGGAGTTTAAAAGGGAACCGACTGTTTTGCATAGTAAAACGACTATTCTCTACAGTAAAACGGCTATTAGGGCTGTTGATTCATAGATGTGGACCGGTTTTTAGCTAGTTCATTATTTTTTCACTTATTTTTTTGCTGGTTCACTGTTTTTTTCGAAAAGTAAAACGGCGATTCAGACAGGTTTTTAAGGTACCCGATCCGGGTCACCGATCTGTTTTTAAAATCATCAGATCATAATGCTTATTTTGAGAGCATTGCATGTGGCATATAGTAGGCATTTTAATCATATGCTTATTTTTTAAAACGGCTAGTAGGAATTCTAATCGGGATTGTCACAGTGGTCAGTGATGGGCAAGTGGCTAGTGATGGGCAAGCTTTCTATCCTTTTCCTACAGCATAAAACTTATATGCTTTTCTTTATCCAACTAACCCTCCATTCTAAATGGAGGGCTAAGATTGTTCCAATCACAATGTCACGTCTCTATAATATTTTATTTTAATTTTTTTATATAAAATATGTTGACACTAAATTTTGGGCATCCAATCCTTTATTAAACTCGCCGTAGTAAAAAATATAAAAAAACATTCTCAATAAAATAAAATAACCAAAATACCCTTGAAATATTCAAGGGGTATTTGGTTATTATATTTTATCGAATAAATATTTTTAATATTTTATAGGTGCGCCCCAATGAGAAGATGGCACATACCAAATTTCATGTTCATACAATTTGTATTAAAAACATTAAAAATAAAATACTTTGAGGCATCGGATCTTGGATCAAACGGTGAGTGACTCACTTTAACAAACTTGAACGGCTAGATAGTAGGAAAAGTATAGACCTTCTATGCTGTAAGAGAAGTATAGAAACCTTTCCCACAATAGATTATCAATAGATTGCACCCATGCGGTTTTCCATCGAGGATACGAAACAGGCTTGATTAGAAGTCAAACTTCTTAACCTTGACTTGATGCTATTTATTTACACTAGCCCAGCACTGTTGATTTACACTAGCCCGATACTGTTGCACAAATTTTAACTTTTAAGTTGTTTTGGAAGTAGGACCATCTTGACCCTTGAAGTCTCAAGTGAGTGAGAGATGCAATTACATTGGTGTGAATGCATAATCACATGCAAGTAAACGTAATTTACTGTGATCTCCTTTACTTTCATGAGTGTGATTCTCAATCTCCTTAAAGGGTTAAAGCTGGATGGTAAGAATTACAATATGCAGCACCATAACATCTACAAGTCACTCGATGAATTGAGGGTATTGGACTATTTGACCAACAATGTGAAAACCTTAAGCTTGGGATGCTTGTCATAATATGGGTGTCTATCCTGGTCTGTTCAAGAAGGATCATTGCATATGCTTACCTATGATGAGTAACATGCCCAATGACATGATTAGCCAGTTGGAAGGCAATAAGATGGCTCGGGAAATGTAAAAAGTCTTATAGCTCTAGCTTGCTAG